AAGTTGGCTGTCTCAGATATTTTGTTGCAGTAATGGGAAGCTTACTCACACAGTACACACAGATCACCTTGTGTCCTGGCAATGGCTCTACAATTATCCCCCATGTTATGGACGAGGAAACACATACTCCGTGGAGTGGGGGAGCCCCAGAACTACTCAGAGGTCCCCAACTCCAATGTCTCCTTTCCACTCTGCTCCTCTATATGTTGATTCATCTTTGCATCCCTAGTGCCTGGCATACAGCAAGTACTTAATAAATGTGTTAGTTGGATAAACAATTCAACAAATCAAAACCTGAAAAAAATGAATGAGTTCTGGGCCTCATTTTCCCCTTCTGCAAAAGGAGGAGGTTGGACTGGATGTTTTCCCCTGCCATCCCTTACTGCTAGCATTCCAGGCTTCTGGAAGCATCTCTCTTCCCCACAGTGTGAATCCTACCACTGCAGTTCTCCAGCTGCCTTTCAGAGATCTGACCCCTGCTCTGGACTCTATCTACTGCTTCTCTGCCCCACCCAAAGCCTCCTTCCCAGCAGCTTCAAATTCTAGTCTTGGCTGGGTGCTGGTGGTTCATGCCTGTAATTCTAGCTATTTGGGAGGCTGAGATCAGGAGGATTGTGGTTCAAGGCCAGCCCAAGCAAATAGTTTTCAAAACCCCATCAACAAAAATAACCAGAGCAAAAGGGACTGGAGGCATGGCTCAAGTGGTAGAACACCTGCTTTGCAAGCAAGAAGCCCTGAGTTCAAATTCCACTTAAAAAAAAATCCCAGTCTCTCTGTGAGGTCAATTCTCACACCTCTCTGTAAGTCTGGCCTCAGTCCCAACCCCAGGCCCTCTGACTGCTAGGAAGTGCACAAGTTTCTAAATACATCTTAGAGATGTAAGCAAAGTCTAAAGAAATAAAGGATCTAGGAAAACCAAGACTCTAAATAACTTCCAACAGCAGAGTTCCCAAACCTTTCCTAGGGGGGTGAGCTTGTATGTGTATTTCCTGAATTCCTGTTGTTTGTGTATTATATGGACAGTGTTTACCAAATCTTACCACCAGATTGGCCGCTACCTGATTAATATTTCCCCTTTATTCAGCCTTGAGTTAACCAATCTACCAGGCAGCCAACCTTCCTTCCTTCCTTCCTTCCACCCTTCCTTCCTTCCTTCCTTCCTTCCTTCCTTCCTTCCTTCCTTCCACCCTTCCTTCCTTCCTTCCTTCCTTCCACCCTTCCTTCCTTCCTTCCTTCCACCCTTCCTTCCATCCTTCCTTCCACACTTCCTTCCTTCCTTCCTTCCACACTTCCTTCCCTCCTTCCCTCCTTCCTTCCCTCCCTTTCTTCCTTCCTTCCTTCTCTTTCCTTCCTTCCCTCCCTCCCTATCTCCTTCCTTCCTTTCTTCCTTCTTTCCCTCCTTCTCCCCTCTTTTATTCCTTCCTTAGAACTCAGTGTCATTCTAGCCACTAACAACTATGAAGTCACAGCACCAATGTGTCCTTGAGTCTGCGTGCCACATAAACTCATCTCCTCGGTCACCAGGCCAGAGGCTGCTATTTGGGAAACACTGAATTTAGGAGAAGATGGTTTACAGACGCAGCCGAGCCTTTTTAAATAATCTTGGTGCACATTTTCTTCAGTAGCTGGAGACAGGATGTTTAAATGGTTTTATTTTCTACTTCATGCTTTCTCATCGTCCCCCGTTTTTATAATAAGCAGTGACTGCTCCTGTAACTGGAAACCATAAATGAGTGTTGGAAAATAACTAACACATCATCTTTATTTTCCAAACACAGAGTCAGGCAAAGAGACAGAGTGGGGTGAGTGCCCAGGCATGGCCAAGTAAATCCAAAAGTTAGCTGTGTGGGATAACTGCACTCAGCCCTCCAAAGCCCCACCTCTCTCCTCTCTTCCCATTGTTGGAACCAGAGGAAATCTCATCCCTCCTGCTTTTTTCTTGGAGCCAGCTGTCACCGGGTGTGTGGACGACAGGAAACAGGATTACAAGATTAACAGTGAGTCGGTCATTCCCTCCCGGCTGTTATCGCAACTGACTCTGAGAGCCACAATTCCCACTTGTCACTACGTACCACAACCTGGGGGTTGGGACCATGGCCCAAAATAAATCGTGAGCAAGGGCAAAGCTAGGAGTGACAGGGACTTTTCCTGCAAGTCAGGTAAAGTGTCCCAAGTGTAGACTGGAATTCAAGCACTCTGTGGGCATTTTCTCACAAAACTCTTACAAGAACTTCAGGAAGTGGAGGCTGGACTTATTTATCCCCCTTTCACAGATGGGGACACTGAGGTCCCATAAGGTGAAATCATTAATCCAAAGTCACATGATGATAAATACAGAGCAAGTATTAACCCAGGTCGTCAACACTTCTATTGCGGCTACGAGACTTCCTTCAGTCACCATCCAAGGACAGGCACAGCAGACCAAAGTAGAGTCACCTGCCTAAATATGTAGATGACTGAGTGACTTAGAGCTTGACACTAGACTCTCTGACACCTGCACTCCCCCACCTGCCCCTTCTTTTGTGTCACATCTGTCCCATTAACTTGCAAAGGACAGGGACCTGGCATGACACAGGAGAGCCATGGGGGTTCCTGGGAAGAGATACAAGTGGACTGTGCAGTCTGAGACTAGGGGAAGCATCTTAGAGGAAGGAGGAGTTAAAAGATGACCTAATGATGGTTGGGGCTGGCCAGGAAAAAGGGGAAGGGAGAGCCTGAGGCAGAAGGAACAGGGGTGAAAAGAAGAGAAAGAACACAGGCTCACTCGAATCTCCCTCAGCATGATGGGGACAGAGAGGGAAGCCCTGGTGAGATACAAAGCTGGGACATGGCCAGGCTGGATGGGACGGGGATAGTCAACCAAGCAGAGGAGTCTGAACCTTGCACTGAGGCCAGCGAGGGGCTAAGAAGAGTTCTGAGCTGTGGACTGGCCCTGTCTGCTTTGTGTTCTAGAGGATCTCTGTGACAGCTGCCTGAGGGAGGTTCCAGAGGAGAAGAAGGCTGCTGTGGTGTCTGAGTAAGTCAAAAAGCTGTGGGTGGCAAGGAAGAGGCGTCTGGATTAGCAGCCCAGCAGAGGAAAGGTGGTGAACACAGAGATACCTTAAAAAGGTAGAGTCTGGGCTGGGGACGGAGCTCAGGGGTGGAGTATGTACTCAGCCTGCAGAGGTTTCATTCCCAGCACCACAAAATGTGCAACTGATAGGACATGATGACTAAGTAACCTGCAGAAGGTGACTACAGGCACCTAATACTGCTCTTGCCTTGTGGGAAGGAAAGACCCAAGAGAGGCTAAGACCCTTTGGTGGCAAGCTTGTACGTGGTGGTCCAAGTAGGCCGCCTCTACCTGAACACTCGACTTTCACCTGGAGCAGCAGGACGTGACACTGGCAGGGGCCACACACGGCCTTAACCATAACCATCAGGATGGGATGAAATTCTGAATACCGTAGAAGCCAAACTTGGTACGTTCAGGGCCACAAACAATTGGATTCCTCTTAAGTAAGATGTGATTTTGGTTGTTAATGTTTCCTCTGGGACTAAACTGAATATCAATTTCAAAATGTACACTTTCTTTTTTGTGGTACTGGGGGTTTGAACTCAGGGCCTACACCAGCCTTGTGTGTGTGTGTGTGTGTGTGTGTGTGTGTGTGTTTTAAGATAGAATCTCTCAAACTATTTGCCTGGGCTGGCTTTGAACCTGGATTCTCCTGATCTCTGCCTCCTGAGTAGTTAGGATTACAGGTGTGAGCTATCTGCACCCAACTTTCTTTCTTTCTTGGTGGTATTGGGGCTTTGAACTCAAGGCCTTGCTAGGCAGGTGCTCTACCACTTGAGCCACTCTACCAGCCTTTAATTTCAAAACGTAGACATTTAAAACCCAAAAAATATTTTAAATAATACTTGAAGGATTTGGTTATGCCAGCCCCAAAAAAAGCACTTTATGAAAACACAATTGCGAAGAAGGCCAAGTGCAAAGACAGGAATGCATATGGTGTGCCATCCCCAGGCACACCTGAACGAAACTCAGTGTTTTGTGTTTTTTGTTTTTTCCAGCATGCAAAATTAGATCTGTCTGCTATCTAAGAAGAATCTCCATGGTCGCAGTTCCAAACCCAGTGTTGAAAGCACAAGATCATGGGGTCTCCCTCCCTTTCTCTCTCTTCAGGGTGTCATCTTTATTTAAATGAGTGTGTCTAACTACCAAGCTCCTATCTTCCAAAAAGGATAAGGAAAAACTTCCTAAATGACTTCATTTTGTTTTGAAACACTAAACCCAGGAAAAAGGGGGAAGAAAAAAAAAAGCCTTCTTGGTCAGAGATCAAGATGTGATTTCTAATTCACTTGCCATATGGTAAGTTATTCTGGAAGAGTATCTAGAGGGAGGGGAGAATGCCAGACAAAATTTGCCCTGCTGTTCAGTCCACTCAAATCAGTGCAAAATCCCAGTATGTGCGTTTTCAACAACCCTTCTATTTGTCATATCAGCGACTATGACCACAGGATATGTAAAAATACCGAGCAATTTTTAGCACTAGCTTCCAATCCACCCCCTCCCGTGCCCTGGACACCACATGGTGTCGTTTGTCTGTATTTCACCTCCAGGAAATCAAGGCATTAACTTCTCTCTCATTTACCGAGAGCTGTTGCCAAAAAGCAAAGCCTTCATCGGCTGTGACTTATGGGAAGAAAAAGAGAAAGGGCTTTCCAAGGCGGAGAGACCACAAAGGGAAAGAAGAGAGGGGTGGCTTTTGGTCCCTAGAAGGATAGAACACACCAGACTCCTAAACTTTCTCCCTTCTGGGAAGATCAGCCTGCAGGTTGCCTGGTGTCACCTGTCACCTGTGAGGGTTGTCTGAAAGTGACACTCATTCTGTCTTTCCTTCTATGGGCAGGAAGGCTGGTGGAGGACCATGCTGGGTTCCTGCCAGCTCACCTGGGTTACTGGGGGCGTGTGGAGGGAGGGATGTGTGGAGGAGGGAATCGGGAGGCCACTTTCCTACCTCTGCATCCGTGACATTCTGTGCAGTTCCATGTCATCGCTGCCCCGGAACCCTTTGGCAAAGGGATTATTCTCGATCTTTAATTGCGTGATCTGAAAGAAGGAGGGAGAATGTGCCGCTTTACACTTGATTGCTGCAAGACTACCTTGGGTCACAAGTTAATAATGAATGTCACAGAAAAGAGGCCTCGGGCAGTCAAAAGAAGCAAATTAAGCTAGTCACGTCAACAGGACCCACCACTTCACTGGAGCAGAGGCTTTGAAAAATGCCCTAAATCAGACTGCTTTTAAAAGGGGGGGAAAAACATGGTTTTGGTTTACCCATTAATTGGAGTCATACTTACCATCATTCCAGCTGGATTGTGTGTGTGTGTGTGTGTGTGTGTGTGTGTAATCTTGGCAGTTTGTGTTTCAAACAGAATCTAAGCCTCTACACTTGGAAAGTCGGGCGTGTTAGCAGGGTTTCCACACAGCCGGCTGTGGGGTACTCTCCCCATTTGAAGAAGCCACTTTCCAAAGAGCAGCAGGGCCTGACTTCATGATCATCTCATGGTTTCAAAAAAGAACCCACTAGCCCAGGTATAAGATGGTGCGCCCAAGAAAATGAACCCCAATCCACGTGATGACCCCATCTGTGGTACCCAGTTATCACCCAGCTCCAACGCTCTCTGCTTTCCAGGTGAGGAAGAGACCTCTATCTTAGAAATCTGTGTTGCAACCTACAGGGCTCAGCCACAGAACAAGGTCTTTTGTCTAACGTTTTGGTTCCAGGCCCAGAACTATAATTTAAAGCATCGACATATATTATGTTAGTGTGAACGTTCAGTAGCAGACTCAGGTGACAGAGCGTGTACATATGGAGTTTGCTGGAAGTGCTTCCTAATGTTGTGTGTGAATTGAATTTTCATATATGGAATCACGTTACAAGACATTAGGGCATCATGACTCCGTCTTCAGTCAAGGCTCCCCTTCAGAGCCACTGTCACATCTGTGGAGTATCTGTCCTCTGGTTAATATTTTTAATGAACTCAAACCCCTCTTATTTAAATATATTGTATCTAGAAATAAGTGTCTTCTCCGTATGACAAACTAGAGTCACTGGCTACTCTAGTAGCCAGTAGTAGGAAAACAATTGTGTCAGATTCGCTCTACTGAAGAAAGCTCTGAACGCAAAGCCTGCCTCTCCTTGGTTGTGGAAAGAGATTAAATTGCTGTTCGTACTGAACTAATTCGCCTTGTCTGATAGAAAATGTGAAAAATAACTGAAAAGAGAACGACTTTCTCTCTGTGATTCCGTCATATTCAAATACCTCCTGAAAACCATCTCATCTACCCCAGCGCTAAGTGAAATTTAAGAAATTCTGAGCCAAGTGTCACGACACTCACCTGGAATCCCAGCACTCAGGAGGCTGAGGCAGGAGGATCCTGAGTTCGAGGCTAAACAAACAAGTAAAACTAGAAACTCTGATGTAGGGATCATTAATGGATACACCCTCCAATTGGTTCATCTGAGACATTCTGGATATAAAGTTTCCTTCTAACTCCAAGCTGGCTTGTGCCGGCTCCCCAGTGCCACAAAATAAATAAATGAATTATTTAGTTGATAAGTTAATTTAATTGCTATGTATGTATCCATGAGTGCATATTCACAATAAAAATCTATGCACAATTAACGCTTTTAGCATATCATGATTCCAGCTATAGGACATTCTGGAGAAAGCAAAGAAGGCCCCGGATTGGTGGGCGTTGGGGTTGAGAGGGATGAAAACCTGGAAACAGGGCAGTAAAAACTTCATGGGAAAGGGCTGGCAGAAGGCTCGAGTGGATGAGAGCCTCCCTAGGAGCACAAGGCCCTGAGTTCAAACCTCAACACCACCAAAAAAGAAAAAAAAAACTCTATGGAATACTGCAATGGTGGGAATATGTCATTCTACTTTTATTTAGATCCACAAAATACAGGACATCAAGAGTGCTTGCTAATATACACAATATTAGCTTTAACACGAAAGTGTTGCCGTAGGGTCACCCACCACGACAAATGTACCAGGCTGGTGGGAGATGCTGATGGGGGAAGGCTGAGCATGGAATGGGAAGAAGGTGTATGAAAAATCTCTGTATTCTCCACTTGGCTTTGCTGTGAACCTAAAACTGCTCCTTAGCCAGGCACAGTGGTACACACCTGTAATCCCATATTCAGGAGGCAGAGGCAGGAGGATTGGAAGTTTAAGGCCAGCTTGGGCTAAAATAGTGAGACCTTGTCTCTAAAAACAAACAAAAAATTTTTTAAAAACTTGCTTTTTAAGAAGATCTGCTTTAAAATATTTTTACGTGTGTGTGTGTGTGTGTGTGTGTGTGTGTGTGTACATTATCCCCTCCCTCCCTCATGTTTTCTTACACTGGATCCTTCTTTTTTTCTTTTTTGGTTTGGGGGCGTGTGTTATGTTGTTTTCTTATTTTTTTCTGAGATAAAGTCTCACTATGCATCCAAGGATGGCCTCGAATTCAAGACTCTCCTGCCTCGGCACCCCCAACAAGGCCGGGATTATAGGTGTGACACCAAACCTGCTTCCATTTCTGAACCTTTCTGATTTTTGTCTTGACTTTTCAGCATGAGTATAAAAGTCTATAAAATCCTTTTTAAAAACAATCTTTAAAATGTGCACTCCTGCATCAAGTCCTGTTTTTAGGGTCTAAGAGTCCATCATCTAGGGGACTCCATTCCCACTTAACTTTTGTATCTGAAAATTTGAGGGATTTTTGGTAGTACTGGGGTTTGAACTCAGGACCTCAAATTTGCTAGGCAGCCACTCTACCACTTGAGCCACCTCACCAGCCCCCACTCAACGCTTGTCATAATGACATGCAACCCAATGAGTGAGAAATCATTTTTTAATTAAGTGAAAATTAGATCACTTAAGCAGGGTGGAGGGAATCCCTGGCCCTGACACTCCAGGACAGAAGCAGGTCCCTGCAAAGGTTGAAGACATTAAGAATGTCAGGGCTGAATCAGACCACAGCCCATAATTCTGTTCCACCAAGAATTCAGGGCCAAAAATCACCCCAAGGAAAAAAAGAAAAACATGAATTTATCTTATCAGCAAAAAGTCTTTTGCTCAAGCCACCTCCTTATACCTCAAACAGTTAATACTTCTTATGCTAATCCTCACAGTGTTAAAAAATATGACCATATCACCTAAGTGCAATATGCTATATACACACTTTCTCATATTCCTCTTACATAGGTCTGTGTGTGTGTATGCTTCTGGTGGTGGGGATTGAACCCAGGACCTTGTACATGCTATGCAAGCCCTCTATCCCTGAGCACACCTCCAGCCCTTAAGTATGTCTTGTTCTTTTAGAAACCGAGCATAGATGTCTATAGAACGTAAGAATTACACTTGAGATACGTTTACATACAAGCTTATCTACAGGTGACAATATGTGTTGTATATTTCCACTGAGACCCTAACCCTTGTCTATAAAATTCTCTTCCTTGCAGGCTACATGTCAGCCCATGAGTACCCAAAAAACACGCTTGGAGACGCCACTCCTGTCAACTGTATTCACCATACAAACGCACTCCATCCAAAATCAGCACAAAACTGGATATCAGGGGTTGCAGGGGGAGGCAAGACTGGGAGAAAACAAATATAAATACCAGCTCCAACTGGTGAGACAGAGGTTGTAAAAATTAATGAGAATAATTGTTGTGAATTCTTGCTTTTGAAAAAAAAAAAAACTCGAGAGAGCCAAAAAAATCTTAATTATGTCTTTCTATTACGGGTTCATTTCCTGATCCTAAGCAGAAAGCTCATACCTCATAAATATGAGCTAAATACACAATGATTTAAGCAGGAGGAAAAAGCCTTTTGATGAAAAAGTAAGCTAATATCGGGGAGAGGAGGATAGACATGCCTGTATACACGACCATTGTTGTAAGAGCAGGGAAATGAAATACCCACGTGACCTGTTTTTAACACCTAAATATTTCTAAGATTGCTCTGGGAGCTGCTGACAACTGCACTGGAAACCTCACAAAAACGTGTTTCACAGAGTGAACGTCACTGGGGAAGATTCGAGTTTTTAAATATCTTTTTCAAGCCGTCAGCCATCTGGGGAAATAACTCCCAAATCCACCTTGGGATCTCAGCTGTGCTGCGACGTGGTCATTAGAAGCCTGAGGTCTTTGAGGTGAAGCTACACAGCCTCATGCCCACCTCCACCTGGTACCTGAGTCCACGTGGAGAAAGAATCCTGAAGGCATTGAGCCCTTTACGGAGGCTCAGATTTTCCTAAATTATCCTGGCAACTGAGCCACATAAAATCACTTTTCTTTCCCAGTTCACTTATCCAAAGCAAAATGCTAGACGAATAGTCCTTAAATTGATGCCATGATCGGTGAATGACCCAATGAAACCACAAAGACTAACATTTACAGTTACTTTCAACCACAGTAATAAGAACTTACTTGAAATCTCAGTCTTCAGATTTTAAAATACCCAGGGAGGGACAGTGAATAAGCAAAGACTTTTCTGGAGTCTAAATTTTGAATGGAGTTGCCCTATTAATAAACCATGATGAAGCAATCAATCAATGGTTTGATCGTCATTACCAACGGCCTCACAGTGTGCCAGCTTCTGCACTACACATTTTCAAGGACTGTCTCATTTAATCTTCACAATGATCCTATGAGTGTTCCTATTATCCCCATTTTACGGATGGGGAAACTGAGTTAAGTCCTTTGCCCAAAGTCGAAAGAATTTGAATCTCTACAGTCTGCCACTGGAGTCCAGCCCTGAACTGCCGGGATGTTGAGTAAGAACTCAGCTAGCTCCGATCCCTGAAGTCAGAGTCTCAACACCCCGTCCAGGTGGAACAATAAAGCCATGAGACTAAGTCCACAAATCACACGCAACCCTGGCCGGCTTATTTAAATCACACATCGTATATCCATGCAGGAAATGTTTGCAGGGACCTTGAATTTGGCTGGAAAAATGTATGGCTTTGGACTGGCTCCTTCCACAGAAAACTCACAACTTTAGGACTCTACAGGTAAGTAGAGAAGACCCCCTCTAGGACAGGGTGACAGAAAGTTGTCTTCCAAGAAATTCTTCATCTGACTTTTAAGAATCTGTCCAACTAGCCGAAAAGAACCTTTATATGTGCGGCTCAACATGGCTTCCTGACCCAATCAATACAGGAAGAAAACAAGCAATTCTCATGTGTAAGAACCCTTTTCGTGGCCATCCAATACATCCATCCAACATGCCTAATCAGAGACACGCATGTTTAGATCTATCAGCATTTAGATACATGGTCCCTTGGACCGAGCTCAAAACACGCACACCTCACTGGGCAGGTATCCTTTGTGTACATAGATCACTGGGTAAACACATTAGGGAAAAGGCTTTTTAAATAGGATTTTGGGGGAAGAGGAGTCTTGGATACACCTATTAGTTTTGGAGATAGTTTTACTGGTATGCACCTATGAAACTGTATGCTTCAAGGGACTGAGGTGTGACTCAGTGGTAGAGTATGTGCTTTGCATGTTTGAGGGGCTGGGTTCAATCCCCAGCACACCCAAAATAAATAAATAATAAATCATATACTTTGAAGATTATATGTTATGACGATTATTCCTCAATAAAGCTGTAAACAAAGAGAGAAGGAGAGAGACAATGAACTCTTCCCCTGACTAGGTCATATGCTGCCCATCCCTGAGGTTGTAACTACACAGAACTTAGACATTCCCTCGCCCAAGCATTCAAGCACCCATGTGGGGTTTTTTAAAGTCATTTTCATATATTCACCCCTTCCTGTCCTTCCTGTAGGAACCTGGGCTTTCTTGTGAGAGCCAAAAAGGCCTGAAGTGTTTCTGGGTCCCTTGGCAGATCTAGGAGTCTCTGAGACTCTATATATGGCTAACTGAGCGGCCTTATTCTATTTTTCTTCCGTGCACCACTGTAAAGTTAAACACAGGTTTGCAACAGCCATGGAGAAAACAGGTTTCCAGGACTGAGACTTCAGTTGACCAGAATTACTTTTGCAACTTTCAGGACATTTAATTTCACTGTTTCACTGTTTACCCTCTAGCTGGGGTTAGCCAGTAGAGGGGATGTGGTGGGGAGCAGGGAGGTGGGGGGGAATTCAGAAAAAACTTCCTTCTCCTTTAAAAAGTAATCGAGTTTGGGAGGAGTGGAGGGAAAGAAGCTCTCCCCAGATCTGGGCCATCCGCACAGCTTGACCTGGCTACTGACCATCTGAATTTGGAAATTACCCGAACTGGTAGAGGTATTATCCCCATCAGCATGCATGGGAGTGACCTTATGGGGTGACTGGAGGTTTTAGGGGGCTAAGCCTGCCTCTGACTCTTCCCTGGGGTCTCCTGCCAGGCTCACAGTCCTTGTACCTTCCTCCACTCCAACTTGGCTAGAGGAGAAAGGACCCATGGGAGGAAAAAAGGCATCACCATCCCCACAGGTCCTGTGACCTGCCCTCCTGATCCCACATGGGGCCACCTGCTCTATTGTCCCTTGAAGTGGCTCTATAAAAGGCAGAGTGGAGAAAGGAGGACATTGACCCAAACAGAAAAAGTGTCCCCATAAAGCGTGGCAGTAATCTCCCATCCCAGCACAAAGTCATGCAAAATTATGACCTTTCTTCAAATAATCTCATCTTCTTCTATTTATTATTCTTATTATTCACACACTTTAGTGACCTGGGAGTGTGTGGCCATCTGTGGATTGACAAGCTTGTCTCTAACAGCTGTGCATATATGTGTGTGCCATGCCCACAAATACAGAAAAAAAAAAAAAAACAAGCAGCAATCCTTAGGCCATAGCTCAGTTCCTGCCTAGCACCCTGGGGTAGGAGTAGATGCTGCTGTGTGAGGACAGAGCCCCAGCTCAGTCACAATGTTTCAGTGGGTTGCAGGCCAGGTGTAGGGACTTACTTTGTGGTTCTGATAAGACGTCACAGCGATGAATGCTGTCTCGGGAAACACATGGGTGCAGAACGCTGTATTTTTTGAACCAAATCCATTATTTTCGTCTGCTTTCACGATATGTAGTCTGGGCTGGTATTTGTGCATGGAATTTAGAATAATCTAAAAATAATAAAGAAAATGAGATTGTAAGAAAATCAAAACTCCCTTTGTTTCCAGATAAATCCCTACCCCCTGCCACCATTAGCCAAATTAGTTAGACTTTAGAAAAATAGTCATTTTTTTCCCTCCTGTTTTGAAAACGGGGCCAGTGATTTCGTTTAAAAGAAACATTTCAAAAATGACAATTTCCAACTAAAAAAGTCGAGGTAATAGTCCAGAAATCTACCCAAAGCACACACGGCAGTAAATCAGAATTCTTAATAAAGTTTGCTTAATAAATTAGGGCTCTGCACAGTGTACTTCCTGCCCCCAAGAGAGCCAAGTCAGTGTGGATGGAGGGATGAGCAGTGTCCCAGAGGCCTGGACAGAGATTTTGGAATGACAGAAGGGAAGAAACAAACAACCATCCATACATATACACAAATAGACCCCCCCACAAAAAAGAAAAACCCGCTAAAGGGTACAAGGAAAGAAACAAAACATTTGCAAAATGCTGGTACAAAAATCACCAAGCAAGCTGTGCAGCCTTTTTCTAAGACTTGGCGGGTGGACAGACCTCAAACCTTGGCCCTTTGTTTGTACAGTGTGCAAAATGGAATTAATGATAAAGGGACACTGAGGAGCTGGAAGAAGCACCCACCACATCACCCCATCACAGCAGCCCTGGAGGTTCCCCTTCTCCAACTCTGTCAACATTTCAGGATCCACCCCCAGAATTATCTCCAGGCTTGAAACCATTGCATCTCTCCTTCCTTGGGGTGCTCCCAGGTTTGGGGGGGGTCTTACTGCTGTGGCTGTTCTGATATTATTATTAAAAGGATCTCTGGGCTGCACATCCTTGCTGGAGTCAGGCCTTTTCACAGGAGATGAGCTTTGTCCTAATAAAAACGGGTTTGCTTTCCCCCCACGATGGCGGTGTCAGTGATTATTTGCCTTGATGACCCTGGGACAGGGTTCTGGGACCATCCCAAGAGAGTGGCTATTGGAGGGGGAGGGGTGCAAACCAACTAGAGACCCAGCCTCAACCTCCAGGCTCTAATCTCAGCCGCTGGCCAGCCGCCTCCCTGGCCGATAGCGACGCCGGCCGACCGGGGCGGCATGGCGACACAGAGACGCAGAGGGGCCTCCATGGGGCCGCCACAGCCCCGGCCAGCTAGGCCATCGTCCCGGCTTAGCCAAATTGCTTTGACGGCTGTGGACAGAGTAGAGACAGCAGTGCAAGTATGATCTAATAGCTGCTAATTTCATTAGGACGGCTCTGGATTAAAAATCCAGAGTTGGGATACAGCACCTCTCTCTGGTCTGCCAGGCTGCTCAAAAGGACATGAAACTCACCAGGGAGCCCCAAACTTGGTGGCAGGGCTGTGTATGTGACATCTTCAGGCATCCACCCCAGAGTGACTCCCCAAAGGCATGGCCATTAAGTCAGAGGGAAAGTCAGGAGTTACACGGGCTAGGGGACAGTCTTATTTCCCAGTGCCGGGTTCCACAGAGGACACTGCTCAAGGGTTCCAGCCCCCAGAAGGGTGCTAACAGGAGAGGCATGGAGGACCTTCACAAAATGGTCTTTTCCCCAAGCCCTTAAAACTAACATGTTTGAATCCCTGCTCAGCTAACACCCAGAAAAGCTAGAGGTCATGTTTGCACTGGGAACACCGGCAAAAAAAAGTAGACCATGGCAAAACGCAGTCCTTAAGCAGGAAGAAAGTGTCATGCTGTCCCTAGGAAGCCTTCTGTCTATGCCCTCTGTGTCCTCCTGTAGCACCGAAAGAAAACCAGTCTTTTTCCTCTCCATCCAACAACCCATGTCCTTCCCACCTACATGTGCAGAGCAGCAAGAAGCCCACAGTGGAGGGTCCAAGGTCTCCTCCCCACCTCAGATCCCAGTCCCCGGACCTGGCAGGAATGACTTTCCCATTTGAACCTTCACAGACTGTCCTTCCTTGTGGTCAAATCCATTTCCATCCAGCCCCCTTTTCCCTAAATCAGAGACTATGTTTCTCTCTCTTTCTCTGGCCAACCTGGAGGGACAGAGCCCCTTTCGGAATAAGAGAGATTTAGCCTCAAGTCTGTGTTCCCTACACCAACAATATAACCTCCTGCAAATCCCCTCCTCTCTCCTGGACTCCCCTTTACAAAGGCTATGCGTTTGGGACACCCTCTCTGGGCTACCATGAAAATTGAACATACAATGGTGAAGGAGCCCATTTGTACAAGCGAAAGGTCTCAACACTGAGCTCAGAGGCCATGTTCAATTCTAGTGATTATTTCCAGCCAAGAAATTTAGGGATGATTTTTCCAAAAATTGGTGCTTTGTTCTTTGTTTCCCTTTGAGGAGAGAGAGTCTGCTAAAAGTTATGCACTGGAGGGAGAGAGGGTTTTACACTCAATATCCTGCATAGAGTTTCAGGGAGTTCACTAGGCCCCCTCTCTTGGGACCAATCTTGATTCCAGATTTAGCACCCTGGTCTAGGTTTGCCTGTGCTGGGCATGGTGGAGGAGGAAGAAAGCTGGACATTGAGGAGGAGAAAAAAAAAAAAAACAGGTTTGCCCAAGAGTGTCAAGCTAAAAGGGGGTTATGGTACCAGGCTTCACCTCTGTGGGTGTACTTGCCACTTGGAAACAGGAGGCAGGTGACCTGGGTTCTCCCTCTCACAGGGGACAGCCCAATACACAGCAGAACTTGGAAGGGGCTACAGGGAAGGGCACCCACTGACCCTGCAATACTGATCATGTTTTCTGCGGGACTGAAACACAACCTCCTTCCCTTCCCCATACCCCATCCTTACCACACTGGGACTAAGACCCCAGTGTCCAGGATTGGAATGAGTGGCTTTAGTCACCCCAAGATCACTGCCCCTCAACAGAGGCAGAAGTTGACCACTGGCTACATGGATGCAGCTCCAGGTCAGGAAACCCCGGTACTATCTCTCTAGCTGCTGGGAAACACAGATCCCCAAGCTGGATCACAGGAAGGACAGTACAAGATGTGAGCCCTCTGAATAGAAGGGTGGTAGAGAAGAGGAAGAAATAGTAAGAGGAAAAAGAAAGCCAAGGGAAATCTAGATGAGTTAGAGAGGAAGAAGATAAGGAAAAAGTGAAGAGATGAGAAAGGGAGGCAGAAGAGAGGGAGAAAGAACGTCCAGAGGAGAAAGGTAAATGAAGAAAGAAACCAAGGAGGGGAAATCGGAGGAAAGAAAGGGAGACAGACCTGTGACACAGGAAGCCAGAGAGGGAAAGACTCTGTGAGAAGAAGGGGGAGGGAGATGGCCTGCCGCAAGGTACTTACATGCCCAAAAGGGTCCAGGTGGTTGTTGGTAAGCTTGAGTTTCTGGAAGGAGACAAGCTGTCGCATCCAGTGGGCCCCGGTGGCCGGCGAGTCTGGGTGCACATAGAGGCGGCCTGGCATCGCAGGCTCGGCTTTGCCAGTCACAGACCTATACCAAGGAGAAGTGTGACCAGGAGAACCGAGGTGACCCAGAGGAAGCACTCTGGGTAGGGGCTACTTAGTGTGAGCTGGGAACGGCCTGACACTCTGGTCTCCTTTAGCCATCTGCAGTCCTGGCTGCCCCAATTCCCCCCTGTACACCAGTGTCCAGGCAAGCCCCCGGCCTGGTTCATTCTTCTACCCATTCTTCCCCCAGCTTGCGCAAAGAGCGCTTGGAGGCTCGCTGCCCACACACCATCCGGGGATCTGGAAGTCCGGATATGCAAAGGAAAAAAATCTTGCAAACTCCTTAAGTGCTTTCAAAGGGGGATTTCTCCTCCAGCCTCTGCACTACTGGCAGCTGCAGAAACAATCGACCCCAGGAATGAATTGGGCCTCTGCTCTCTTGCCTTTTCAACTCAAATGCCACAGGCCGATTTTGCAATTTCATAAAAAGGGCATGTTCAAAGCAGGTAACTCATAAGAAATAACCATAAATGGTTTTATGCCTCCAGAAATATGCCCAGCAGTTGGTAACAATACTCTTTTTAAAAAAAATCCCTCACTCACGGGTGCAGCAATACATAGAGGCTCCTCATCCTCTTAGTCTCAGTCTTCTGGTCAACTAGATGGAAACTAACTAATGGCTGCTCTTCCCTCTCTCTTAGGGTGGTCTGCAAGATGAGATAGAAAGGCATGCACAAGCCTGGATGGAGCACACAGTAGGGACCCAAAAGATGTTTACTGGTTTGATTATAAGGGGTTGGGGAGTGGGAGGGTGATCTACTTCCTTCTCTGCTCTTCCCTTCTGGGCTTCAAGGTGCCTACCATTTATTATCTGCGAACTTGTATCTGTGGTCGTCGGCAGGAACAATGTCCATTAGAAGAATGTACTTCGTTTTGGGATTAAGGCCAGTCACTTTCACTTTGTAACTGGGAAACATACGCCTGGGAGGGTGAGAGAGACAGACAGACAGACAGAGAGGGGAGGAAGAATTAATGCCACTATTCTGAAGAGCACTATTCCTTGAGAAATATACAAGAGCAAAATTGGCCCCACTCCACTGTCAGAGAGATCCATCCCGGGTTTCCCTGAAGTTTGGGAAAGGAGAAAGCAAAGGGATGGAAGAGATGGAGGCTGACATTGTAGGTACCTCTGAGGCAAATAGAAACCAGGAGGCGGCTGCTTACAGCCTGGTTTCCAAGAAGTCCTAAAAGTGCTCCTCATTCAGGTCCTACCAAATGCCCTTCTCAGAGCCAGGCGCCTACCGTTTGCGGGGACAGGAGACTCACTAGGTACAAAAGCAGCCACCTTCTCATTCCAGACAGGCGCTCCGGCCCATCCCCCAATTGCTGGGTTGTGGCGGACACCAAGATACGCACTACGGATCCACAACTTGGTGGTGAGAGGGGCAATTTGTTTCCTGTCCTGACTTTGGTCTCCTACCCCTAGAGGCAGGGGTTAGTGGGGTTCCCAGTTTAACTCAAGACACAAGTCTCAAGCAAGCAAGACTTTATTCCTAAATATTTCTAAACGTCCCACAATTTCTGCAAGGCGCCTGGAACATTTTCCTTGGAGAACAGGAACTCCTTGACCCTCCGCAAAGAAATTCCAAACCTATCCAGGTTCGGTTTCAGAACGAGCTGAGGCCTGGACTGGGATCAAAGGACAGAAATTTGGTGGCCCAAACAACACTGTCCCCCAATACCTCTCCTCTACCCACTCCTTGGCGCGCTCCAAATTCCCATCCCGCCTGGTGAGGAGTGCGCCCCAGAAAGCACGAATTCTGAGGCTGGCCTGGGGCAGAAAGACCCAGCTGCTGGATGTCGGCTGGGCCAGCGGTGGCGGGTAGGGGTGAATGCTGGCCTCCCTCCTGCAGCCTCGGAGCCCGGGCCTGGCGGTGTTTGGTGTTTATCTGCGGGAGCGCGCGCCTGGAGGCGGAGGCGCAGGAGGCTGCGCTGGCCTTTTATAGTTAAATCCTCGGCTCAGGCAAGGGGAAAAGGCGCCCGGCTGGGTCTTTCCTTCCTCGGCGGAATGGGAAGAGGACTCAACTCGCTGTTATAAACAGAACGCCGCCGCCTCCTAGTTCACCCAGACCTTGGGCCGAGCGGGGGAGCCGACATTGTTTAATTTGAAATAATAATAAATGTCACTGTTGTCAGTTTATTGCGGGCGGCTTTGGCTGGAGAATCGGGGCGTCTAGAAAGTCAGCTCCACCCTCCACCTTCACACACTTGGGCGGCTCGGGCCTACCGGCCCCTGTCACTTCTGCTCTGGGCAGACTCGGGGTCCGCTACTCTTCTGGACATGGGGGACCAACGCAACACGGGGAGGGACGTGGCGATGTCCCCCAGGGCAGAGCACACGCCGCTCGCACGCACGCACACACACACAGATCTAGAGCTACAGGACTCGGCCATCCCCTCCCCCACAGCCCAGCTTTTCTAGCTAAAACTCTAGCGAGCTTTGAAGAGGAACGCCGGGGCCAGCGTCTTGGCCAAGCTGCGGTGTTTATCGGTGTCTGTGTATAGAGCTCCGCCGAGCCCCGGCTCAGTTTCAAAGGCTTCGCCTGCTTTCTTTAAACAATGAAGGAAGGAGCGAATACATTCGACAATTCAGAGTTTGGCGATCCGGTGGGACCCTGGAACCACTCCAAGGTCAGGGGAGGGGGGGGATAGACTCAGGGTGGGGGCGAGGGATCAAGTCCAGACCTCAGAAACCCAAAGTCCTTCTCTGCTCTTTTTCTCATATCTAAATCCATCCAGAGAGGTCAGCCCCTATATTCGAGGTGGAAGAAGTACCTTATTTCCGGAGTTGAACTTCGGGTACTTCTACCATCCTGCTGAGAACGGTGAGAGAGTCCTCCCAGTGCCTCCTTAACCAAAGCCGACGAAACAAAATATTCCTTCTACATTCTATTCTTTCCTCCCGTCTGCTCTCCTCTCTCCCTTCCCCCGCCACTTTTTCTTCTTCTCTCCCCAAGTTCCGCTCGTTCCCTGGCTACCCGAGAGCCCACCTCACCTTCCAGCTTTGGTTATGATCATTTCCGTGCCCACCTCGTGGAATTTCAGCCACAATTCTCTTTCATGGAGAAACACCTTGATTCCTTCCATGCCCTGCAGGAATGAGAGAAAATTCACAGCGACAAACCTTGGTGGCAGCGAGCATTCCTTCTTTTCCCAAACACCCAGAAAACTTGGGGACTGCTTCTCCTTCCTGTGAATCCTGTGGGCTTAGGGGGTGAAAAGTGGCCCGAAGGCCCACCGCTGAGCGATTTGGGCTCTTGGAGAGCCCTGCAGCCTCTGCCCAGGAATCCCCAGGCAGGTTCAGTCTCCAGGCTTCCAGTAACCACTTGATGTCACAGCGTCTGCTAACTGCCACCAACATAGGCAGAATCGTCACCAACCACGGAGTGCTCAGAGTGACTGTGGGGAGGACTGGGCTGACTAATTTCAATTCACTTCACTGGAGTTAGTAAACTCCAGTGAATTGGGAAAACAAAACCCTTCAATCTAGAAAAACCCACTCAGGATATTCTTAAATAAATACCCGGATGTCCACTCAGAAAACATACAGATCTGCAAATATCATGCGTGTGTATGTTTATTCTTAATCATGGTAGGGGCAAACACTGAACAGACATGAAATTGTAAATTCAAAAACGTTGATAATATGCTCTCTCAGTGCAGAGCAAAAAATTAATTCTCAATGTATATATTAATAAAACCTCCCAAGCCCTTCCCACATCTAGCTCCGTTCACTTCCAGTAATTTTGATTTCAGGGCACGGTTGAAACTGTTTCATATTTTCGCTTTCAACTACGAAGTAAATTTACAAGACAGATGCAAAAAAATCAGATACCAAATATTCGTTTTGAAATAATTAGTAATGGTCTAAGAAGTGGATTTGCTTTTCCTTAAAAGAAAAAATCTGTATGTTTTCCAAACTACTTTCGTTAAGTCTTGCTTGTATAAACACACACACACACACTTTTTCCTTAAACGTGAAGGCAAAGGAAAATTTTTAAAGCCTGAGAGGACATCGAAATCACAAGGAAGGTTTTTAGCTACATATCCGCATCTCTTCTGCTTGGCACCCCCTCTTTCTGCCCTGTGACGCCTATTTTTAAACCTTTGGGGTCTGCCAGGGTCACCTGGAGCACCAATGCTCCTGGGTTTAGGGCAGAGGGCAAGGCAGGGTTCCTCTCTCCACTGGACCCAGCTTCCAGCCAGGCGAGCCCGGGGCATCTCGAGTCCTCTGCACCCAGCCCGATGCGCTCCCCTCGGTCATCCAGGACGCACTAGCCGGGCCAGGCCCCGACCCACGGCAAGACAAATGGTGCGGCGGCGCGCGGGTCTGGGTGGAGGCGCGGAGGAGGCGGGCCGAGGCAAGGCTGGGAAAGATCTGAAGAGGGGTCAAGCCATCGCTCATGCCGGCCTGAAGCGGCCGCTGACCTGGCCCTTAATAAGTCTCTTGGGCCAATTCTACTCGTAGTGCAACAGGAAAGGAATCTGGGCCATTGTTAACTGATCCCAAATAATTGAGATTTCTCCAAGAATTTAAATAGGTTTCAAAAATCCTCACGCCATATAAAGAAAGTCGTGGGTTAGAATATACTGGCACATGGGGAGACAGCAGAGAAAGATGGAATTCAGTGGGAATAGCCAGGAAAAAGGATAATAATGAGTTGTGGACTTCCCCCCCCCCCTTTTTCTTTTTTCCCTGCGCGCACGCAAGAGGAGCCGAGCTACGAAACCCAACTCCAGTTTTGGTCTCTGGGAAAAGCTGCGGGGAGGCAGGTTCTCTTACCTGCTGGGTGAAAGCGGCCTGCGGAGAGGACGGGGACTTGCTGGGGGCCCCCATTGCGCTCTCGGGTTTGGAATCGCAGGACAGGTCTTTTGAGTCGGGCTCTAAAGGTGTGTGCGCCAGGCCAAAGCCCTCGTCTGCGTCGGCCATGGTGCGCCCAGGGCACCTCGGGAGGTTCTGCTCTGAGAGAGAGAGAGAGAGAGAGAGAGAGAGAGAGAGAGAGAGACTTAGTTGGAGAGCACAGTTGAACAGATGGAGGGTAGCTTATCCCCCAATTTCCAGCTACCAGCACCTCCTTTCCCAGCTGCAAGGGACTGAAGAAGTTTCTATTATTTTTATTATCGTTACTATTATTTTGTGATCACGCGAAAGACCCGCCTCAGACCAGGAGGCGAGCCCCGCATCTCCCAGGCCCAGGCTCTGAGCGATAAGAGAGCTGCCCGTCAAATTTGTCTGAACTCCTGGAAGAGCCAATAAAGATAAGGGGTCGGTATTTTTGGAAGCCATTGGGTATGAACCAAAAACAAAACAAAACAAAAACCCAGTGTCCTTTTGAGAATTTTTTTTTCTTCAAGAGAACAGCATCAGGGCTCTTTTTATTAAACCTCACAAAAGGAATATTTTTCTGCAGCATTCAAAAACTCCTGAAATAACCCGCCTCTTGCAAAACCAAAAACAAGAGAGGAAGGATATGCAAATAGTGCGACCAGGTTCAAAAGAAAATTAGTGTACATCTTTTGTCAGTTACAGGCCTAAAAATGAAATGTCCTTTAAAAATTAAAAGTTCTTCCCTTCCCCCAACCTTAAGCAAGACTTGCTTTAAAATTAAATTAAATTAAATTTAAAAAAATCAGCCACACAGAAGACTCCACGGGCGTATAGGAGATTCAAGAGAGGCCAGCTACAGAGTGCTGGTGACCAGCGCTCTGCCCCCGGCCAGGGGAGCGAGTTCTCCCCGCTTTCTGGGCCCTCTAACCAGAATCGGGCATTTTGTGGAGCAGCCCAGGCCGAAGGGAACTTCTCCGAGCTTCAACCCGGCCCACCTCGCTGAAACCGCAGGCTTGGTTCTGTGTGAGTGAGGACAAAAATGGTCCCAGATAAATCCTGGGTTACAACCGTTGAATCGGCCGAGGTTTTGCTGCAAAACACAACTGCAGAGTTGAGCCTGTCTCCTGCTCTTTGATTTCCTCCTGATGTCTCTACGGGTTTCTACAACTACCAGTCCAGCCTCAAAACACCAGAAGACTAGGGAAGGGTGCGTGCAAGCGATGGCTCCCCACAATCTTAGCAACATTTTATGCTGGATCCCAAGAAGGTCTATGGTGGCCTGAGGCCTATCTTCCTAGCAGCTTTCTTCCCCTCGCCCTTGGGGTTTTGAGCAGACCGTGATGGGAGTCCCACTGTCTGTCCACCACAAAAGAACGCTGGGCAGGCGCCGCACCAGCGCAGCCGGCTGCAGAAAGAATCCCACCCCGCGCCCTTGCCAGGGTCTGGGGGAGCTCGGGGCTGGCGGAGAGGAAGGAGATGCGGTTTGACAGAACCAGGCCGTGCAGTTCTGCAAATCTCAACGCAGCTTCTCCAGCCTCGGCGGCCTCCCTGGCTCTAGACGCTCGGGAAACTCCGGGCTGCGTTAAATGAAGCCGGGCTTTGCAGACTGCAAAGCAAGACTGGAGTCCGCCATTCGCGCCTCCTGGAGCCGGCGCGGCGCGGTGGCTCCCTCCCGAGCCTCCCCGGCCTTCTGCGGGGCCATTACCTCGCTCAGCGAAGCGGGTGCATTCATTCACCACAACCCTTCTTGCTCCTAGCAGGGAAGCCGGCGTCCTGGCGGGGGTGCAGGCATGATGGCTCCGGGCTCTATGCTGGGGACCGATTGCCCAGCCTGGTCTCTGCTGCTGCTACAAAGACGCACCCGCGGCCGGAGCCTCGCGGCGACTGCCCACCTCCGCGCACACCTCCTCTGTGGCTCGCTAGCTCTCCCTCAGTACTTCCAAGTTGTCGGGCTCCAGAGGGATCCGAAGGAAGCACACCAAAACCGCAGTGCCAGGAGCGGTTAAACAGAAACTGTTTAATCTAAGCGTCCTGCTCCGCCCTTTGCACCCGGGGGGGAAGGAGAGTTGGGACACTAGAGAGAGTCGTGGGAATTGTCCGAGTTCCTTCTGAGCGCTGCTTTCAGGGCTAAAGCTCCAGAATCCGAGGTAAGAGAGTCAGAGTCTCTCTCTCTCTCTCTCTCTCTCTCTCTCTCTGTCATACAAGCCAACTCCACTGAACACTGTGACGTTCCCTCGCCTTGATGCTTACAAAGTACTGAAATTGCCTATCCAACTAGCTCCCACTGCACACTTTCTCTCTCTCTCTCTCTCTCTCTCTCTCTCTCTCTCCCTCTCTCTTCTCTCCCTCCCCCACCCTTCCTCCCTTTTCCACCAGATTTCCCAAACACTCAGATCACAACAAGACTCTCAAACCAAGACTCCAATCCTCCACCCCACCTCCTTTCCAACCATCTTCCATCTCCACTGCTGGCAGCCATCCGATGTATACAACAAAGCCTGCACACATCATGGCAAGCTTGAACCAGGGAAGTACCACAAATCTCGGTGACCTGCTCCTGCAGAGAACCTAGCCTGGGCACTCTGCAAGTACACACACACACACACACACACACACACACACACCCGTGGGCGTCTGCAGCTTCACCTGGACACCTGGATTCTCTCTCCAGGGTTGACCTCCGATGTAGAGCTGTGTGACCCTGCCTGGCCCCACACAGCACACATGAAGCCTAGGCTGGCTGCCCTGACATCTCCCTGTTGCTCCCCCCTCCCAACTCATCACCCCCACTCTCTATGGCAAAGGCAGAGTGAAGGTGTACTGGGGACAAGATCAAAAATGCCAAGAAACCACCATGGATCCTCACCTCCTACCCGCTGGAACCACCAGACCACCTTGGCCAAAGTGTACACAAGGCAGTGCCTAGTTTTGTTAAAATAATCAAACAGTCATTGGGCTGTGACTGAGGGTTCCATCTTCTTGTGTGCCTCTCCGTGCTTTTCCTCTCTCTGAAATGTATTATTTTGAGGCTGAATTGAAGCAGTCATTAGGAGTAAAAAGACCCAGACTGGAGGGCCAGTATTGGCACTAGAAATGTATGTCCGTGGTTCTGCTCTGTTCCCCACCCTTGTCCCCTGTGTCCCTTTGTTCTTTTATTTTCTGGGACCCTGATTAGATATTTGGGCCTGCAAGCATAGGGCTACAGAGAGGGATGGAAGGAGATATGCCCTGGAAACAGGAGACCCACAGCGGGTATAGCCCTTGGTGGCTGCTTTCCCTGAATCCCAGGCCAAGCCGTCCCTGCAAGCCCTCAGGTGGATTGTCTAAGCCCTAAATGTGAGACAACAAAGGAAAAAACCCAAACCCTCCACCACCCACGTTTGTTTTCAAACAGACCTTGGCAAGGCAAGTTATTTGTTTGTGAAAACACCTTCAACCATCCAACACATCAACTCCTGGCCTCTAGGCTGGTTAAGAAGGCAGTCTCAGGTAGAGAAGGAAAAAGAAAAAAATTAATATGGCATCAGGATGCGCCTGGTAGTAGGGGAAATCCAGAAAGACCTCTCCAATCCCTTTAAATTCTCAGAGATTTGCGGATAAAATTAATTCCCATAAATAACCTGTAGGCCCTTCCCGAGAGGAAAGGTCTGGATCCCTCCAAGAACAGCCCAGCCAGATCTGCGTGGTTCCTGGAGCTTGGAGTATGGTGCAGGCCATCAGGCAAAATCGGGATTTTTAAACCTGGTGAGGGGAATTCATTCTCGGACGTGACATAAAAAGCCAATGTGCAAGAGAGTGCGTTCTTAATTCGCTCTGGGGAGATTCAGCAAGGCCTGGTTGGGGATAAGAAGCCAGGGATCCATCCAGGGAAGAGAATTGCAGAATACACCTAGTCTCCTCCCCTTAGTTCTCACTCAGAGATACTCACCTCCAAAAATCCCACCTCTTCTTGCCAGCGCAGAAGCCAGGAGTGATGGCTCACTGAGGCCAGGGGCTCAGATGACGAATTATGAGAGGACCCTCAAAAGAGACCCCCTTTCAAGCCAGACCTTCTTCCGGGGTCTGTCCAGAGGAGCAAGTACCTCCCAGCTCCTAGTTGGTTTGTGGTCTCCAACAAATTAAATATTACAGTTTATTACTAGGCATACCCCAATAAAATAAAGAGGCAACCAGGCGATACTGACTATCTCACCAGCCGCTGCACCTATAGGACTTGGAGACGTCACAAGTCACGCAACCCGCCCGCGCCTTGTCACGCTGGACTGGGGGGCAGCGGCGGGAGGTTAATTTCTCTCCGTCTTCGGTCTGCGTAAATACCCGACGCCTCAGCCCCCGGGAATAAATAAAGAAATTAACAAACCCAGCGTGGGGCGGGGGAAAGAGATAGGAGTGGCGTACATGAGACACAAATATAGCTAAGATCGATTTTCCTAGGGAGGGGGAGAATAGGGAGGGATCTTAGGGACTCGAGGCAGGAGCCCACTTTACCCCCCGCTGGAAAGAAAACGTGGTCTCCTGCAAGAAGCTAGAGACTCTAGTTATTTACAAATTAATTTTTTTTTCTGAAGTGGAGCTCTTGGAAAAATGAATAATCAGGCCCCTCTTTAGCTTGTTCTGTTTGGGGTGCGATAACTCAGCACCCAATCGCATACCTGAATAGAAATAATTACTGAGTTATTGAGGTAGGGAAAGAAGATACAGAAGTTCTGAGAGAGTTGCCTGCAATATTTCTTGCAGAGAAAAGCCATTCTGCGAATAGTCCTCTGGCCAGGTCCGTCCGAGGAGGAGGTGGAGGGGAAGCAATTCATACCAGAGTGGCCTGGGGTGGGGGGAGGGCGGGGTGCCAGTGGGTTGGGGGGGCGGCAGGAGTGATTTCTGCAGAGAAAAATTATAGCGCCGGGTCCTGTAGAGGGGCAAGACAGTATTTTGTTTTGTAATAGCAATTATTTCTAGTTTGATCACTGGGTACAACTTCCAAGTAGTCGGGTGGAACGTGCGCAAGCTTTTGCGCGCATTTGGAAACCCGCTGGATTGAGTTGCGAAACGCACCGCATAGACGCCCCTGGCGGCGCCGAGCGAAGAGCGAGGCCGGCCCAGCGCAGAGCCGGCGAGCGCCAGGCCTTCCGCAAGGGTAAGTTCCCCGCCAAGGGGCCCCCAGGGAGCCGGACTATGAACCTGGACTTGTCCTCAATCCCCGGGTTTGATCCTGGGTTTTGCACACCCCCAACCTCCAGGGTTTTCCAAAGCCTGGCCTGGCTACGGGCACACTCTACCCGGAGTCTGGAGCAGGAGCGGAAAGTGCAGGGACTCAGTGGACCGAGCAGCTGCAGAGCCAAGGTCAGGCCCGCGGGGACAGCGGGCGGTGGCCTCCAGCGAAGCCGGCCCGCCGTAGATGTGCAGCCTCCAGCGGCAGGACCGCGTCCCCGTCCTCCCGGCCAGGCTTCAGTGGCTTCCCAGAGCCTCGTTTTCGTTCCCCAAATCCGCGGCCTGGTTGTGTCCTGCATTTGCTCCAAGGCGCCAAGAGTGCAGAGCCCGGTATCATCCTTTACCCAAATGTTAGTCTGATGAAATCTTAGTTGACCTAGGTTGACCGAGGTGCGCGGGAAACCGAGGCCTAGGCCCCGCGGGCCCAAAGGAGCAGGGCGAGTTCCTTTCTGTTTAGTCCTTTTTCTCTTTTTTTCCGGACTCAACTTCTTGGACCAACTCAGAACAGTATTCTACAAGCCGAATATCAGAGACCCCCTTTCCCAGAGCTCCGGAGAAAGCACCACGGAAAGAAGAAGAAGAAGAAGAAAAAGAAAGAAAGAAAGAAAGACCTCAGCCGGATTTTCTACTCCCCATTCTTTGCCTAATTATTTTGGGCCGTCTTCAACTCTGCTGCCAACACACCTCCCGCCCCACTTTCCCAAGAATTGCGGCTCCCCCAACTTGCTCCCAGCTCAATTTCCTCTTGAAGTGTATCTTCCCCCATTTGCAAAATTCCCATCCCGATTTTAATACTCCGATGGGTAAGAGAGCCCAGGATCCTATTTTTTAAATAAAAACCAAATTAAAACAATGGGAGCGATTGTCATTGATCATTTTGATTTTTTTCTATCCGTTTTTTAAGAAAATCACATCTAAATTACATTCCTCCTCAAAGGGAGCACACAAGAAGACACTCTCATTTTTGCTCTCTGTGTAGCCTTGTGCCTGCCTCAGTGGGGTCCCTGTTGGAGTCAAAAATAGAGGTTGGAATGGGAAACGTATAAAATAACAGCGATAGAACTGATGTCAAAATTAAACTGTGACCAACTCGTTTTGTAAAAGAAAAATGTCTGTGATATGGTGGGAAAATCTCTTCTTTTCTCAAGAGGTCACTTTCCCTCTGGCCTAGTAAAAGCTGGCTGGATTGTAACTTTTCCTGGACCGTAGGAGTTCCTTCTCCATGTTTCATTCAGTTACCTCCTAGTCTTTCCCTCACTCACCGCCCTTGACCAGCACTGGTTGTTATTCTTCTTCTTCTTCTTCTTCTTATCATTATTATTCAGTATGTAACTTTTCCTTTCAAGAATATGTATTGCTCTTCTCAGTCTTCACATATTTAGGAACTATTTTTCCTCACTCCCTAAGTTTGTTGGATGACTTTAGGTTTTGGGTTTTTTTTAATTCTTGTGCTGGGTGGGGGGACATTGTGGCATTTACAAAAGTTCTTACAATATATCATATATGAATTCACTCTTCCGCCATTCTCCTTTATCCCCTCCTAGTTTTTTTTTTCCTTTTCTTTTCTTTTCCTCCAGCTAAAGGAATGAGATGAGGAATGGAGCATCTTTCTGCAAATCTAGCTACCAATTCATACTCCCAAACAGCCTGGAAGGAAGGGAAGGCAGAGAATGGCACTTGGTGACCATGGAGCAACTGGCTGTCTTGCCCCCTCCAACTTGGACAGTCATTGCAGAGAAAAGCTGGAGCCTATGCAGGCTGCCTGGAACCTAAGAGCTCCAGCCATATCTGTAGCCCACAGCTTGCTAAAAGTCCTCCCATTATAGACACCTCGTCTACACCAACCGCAGCCCCCAAAACATGTAGGTAAAATAGTCTGAATCCCAGGGCTCTGACCTTGTAGATCGAGATGTAGGCTAATAACTCCAGATCTAGGGAGAAGGCTGGGGTCCTGTTTGGATACCCCATCCCCCAGCTGAAAGGTGCCATGGAAACTTGGGAGTCCTGCTGTTCTCTGGGATTCTGGAAAGACAAATTTTCTCTGGCAAACCGAACAGTGTCCCGCTGTCGACACTGCAGACTATTTTTCTTGTTCCCTTGCAGGGGGTGGGGGGAAGAAAAGAAAGCAAGAAAGAAAGGGAAATTAAATCCACACGTGTTAAGCTTGCTCAAAAAGCCAAATTCAAAACTAGAGATGAAAGTACACCTCCAGTGCTGGCTGCCAGGGGCCTCTTTCCAGCAAACCGGGGCCCCAGGGAGCAAGGCGTCCCCACTGGACAGAATTTGATCCCAGTTTCATAAAGGGTTGCATTTAAGGGGGGAGGGGCGTGGATCCCTGTCTGAGTCTAAGCAGGACACATCCGGACAAAGAAAACAAAAGACAGAGCGACTGTGGAATAATTACCCTCTTCAGGAAGTCTCAGTTTGATTTGTCGGCACTCAACCCCACGAATCATGCAACATTCGCCTTAAGGGCAAATGGCCCAAGCCGGTGGTCTTGAAAATTCCTATAGTCTCATCAGCCTTTCGGTCTTGGACGTGGGTCTTCTCGGGTCAAGAGGACCTAAACACTTTTACTGATGCTGGTGTCGCCAGCTCAGTTGGCCAAGCTAATCCTAGCAGCCCTCGGTCCCCTTTTTCCGGGAGAAGTTTGTAGGATCAGAGGCTACAGGCCCAGCTGCAAAAGGAGCTGGGGAGGAGGTGGTGGGAATTTACACTCCTGCTCGGAGTGAAAACTCTGGTAATGAACTTGAGGAGGTGGGTGGGGGTGCCAGTGAGAAGGCGGCCAAACCCCAAAGTGGAAGGATCCGTCACCGAAATGATTGTTCGGTCGAGACCTCTAATTTTTCTTCTTCATCAGCCCAGGCCTCCAGAGCTGCAGCTGGGGTCCCCTCTAGCCTCCTGGTGCTGGGATTTTGGCTTCTGGGGATAGACATCCCTCACAGAAGAATCTGGAAGCGGAACCACGTTACCTATCCTCCTCTTCCGAAGTCACAATCCACTCTCTGGGGAGCAACAGACCAAACCAGACAGAGGCTCTGGATGGAAAAGTTCCTGGCGATTTGTTTCCGCAAGGGTCCTGGGTTTCCTGGTCACTATGGCAACCCAAAAGCTCTCAACAATGGGGTGCCAGGGAAGGTCCCCCAGTTGGTCCTGCACTTGCAGCATCCTGGAACCTGAAGGCGCTTCCCCCAGTTGTCCTTGGCTCTCCCCTCCTCAATGAAGCAACAGAGCAGAGTGAAAAATGCCCCCTTTCTTTTAAACAATGTAGAAAATCTAGGTTTAGTACTAGGTTGGTTGGGGTCTTGAGCAAAAGTCCCTTTTGGCTGAGTGCAGAGCAGTGAGTTAGGAAACTTAGTACAAACTCGCAGTGCAGCCCCAGCTGGGGACTTGGGACATCAGCGGTGACTGGAGTCTCCATATCTACTTCCTAAACTCATTCCCTCACTGTTTGGGGCTCTCCACCTTGGTCCAAGCCACCTCTTCCCTGGCCTTTTGCATGGAAGTCAGACTGCTCAAAGAGTAAGTTAGCCTCCTTTTCCTCTTAGAGAAAACGGTTGTGGGTGTCACAGAAATAACAGTAAAATATTTTTGCATTGCTTCTTGAGTCTAGGTGGGGGGATGGTCTTATTTCCAAGCTCCAACTGCCTGGCTTGGCAGCAATCACGGGACCCAGAAGAGGAGGGCAGCAGGGGCTCGTGCCTGCAAAGGCTTTTGCCACTCACAGCCTTGTTCTGTTCTGTGGCAGAACCCATCCCTCTCCAAACTGGCTAGAAAACACAATTATCCTTTTTTCCCTAATTCTCATGGGGCAACAAATGCCATTCCCCGCCCCCCAAAGATCCTGGCTGACTCAGTAGTGCCTGGACACACTCATTTCTATTCAGAGAAATTTGGGAGGCTCTTCTACCCTAACTCTGACTTCTTTCCTCCCCAGCCTCTGGCATTATTTTCAGAAGAGTCCTTGTGTCTACACAAAGAGAAAAAAGTGGGTATTTCAGGCTCAGGAACCTGTTAGCATTGGAGACACCATTGTAGTAAAGGTTTATGGCAGGCCAGGCAAGGGCTGTTGCAACCAGGTTTCACTTGCTTAATCTCCAAAAAGGACTGTGAGAAACTGGCTGGGTCACACCCAACTTAAAGAGGAGGTTTTGGGGCCCTGGCCCTTGTCACAGTCGGGTAGGATTTGAACTCCAAAGCCCCAGAGAATGGCTTTTACTAGACTGGACTTCTTGGTGGAGCCAGGGGAGGGGAGCGGGAAGAGGTCTGTTAGGCCA